TCCAAGACTCTTCTCCTCCAGGATGACCGACAACTCGAGTTTCACACCCCGATGGGCTGCCATTACAAGATTCGCATACCTCGTTACGGCAGAGACTTGCTCTACGACCGGCAGTCAACAGAAGCACTCGTACCAGCCGTAGGAGTGGATCAGGATGGCTTGGGTGAAGTCTTCCGCTTGAACCTCGAGATTGGCAGGTTCATGAAGTCCTTCCAGATCGATGTCGGCGGTGATGAAGAGGGGGCTGGACTTCAGGGAGGTATCGACGCCGGTAGTGTCAACGCTGCGGCGTTAGCCGAGGGCTCCCATGGCCTTGCAGCATTCGGAACCTCTATTGGTACGGTGGAATTCTGGGATCCAAGATCGAAGTCAAGAGTGGCGCGTCTAGGCTGCCAAGAGGGTGGTATCACTGCCTTGGACTTCAGCACGTCGGGACTGTCCATTGCCACTGGTTCCGAGACGGGCATGGTTCAGCTGTTCGATCTTCGTCGCCCAGTTCCTCTCTTGACCAAGGATCAAGGATACGGCTTCCCGATCAAGAAGCTCATTCACATGACAACGGCTTCCCAAGAAAAGAAGATTTTGTCTGCCGATAAGAAGATTATCAAGATCTGGGACGAGACGGACGGTACACCATGGACCTCAGTTGAGCCCCTTGTGGACCTGAACGATGTGTGAGTTTTGAGACTTCAGTCCTGCTTTGAATCGTCACTAATGAGAAACTAGGGCTTGGTGCAAGGATTCCGGTATGCTTCTGACTGCCAACGAGGGCAAGTCTCAACACTCCTTCTTCATCCCCAGTCTCGGCCCAGCACCAAGATGGTGTTCTTTCCTCGACAACATGGTCGAAGAGATGGCAGAGGAGGTCCGCACAGAGACATACGACAACTACAAGTTCTTGACGCTGCCCGAGCTCAAGCAGTTGAGCATGGAGCATCTCATTGGCAAGACAAACCTGCTCCGCCCGTACATGCACGGTTACTTCGTTGCGTCGAAACTCTACGAACAGGCCCGCCTCATCGCCAACCCGTACGTCTGGGAGGAGGAGAGGACGAAGCGCATCAAGGAGAAGGTCGAGAAGGAGCGCGCCAGCAGAATCAGAGGCAACAAGAAGGTCAAGGTCAACCAGAAGCTCGCCGACAAGCTCCTCAAGAAGCAGGAGAACAGAGAGGTTGTCGACGAAAAGGCCGGTCTGCTCGGCGACGACCGTTTCGCCAAGATGTTCGAGGACGACTCTTTCGCCGTCGACGAGTCCACCTACGAGTTCCGCGCTCTCAACCCCAGCACCAAGGTCGCCGCGAAGGATACTCACGAGGTTGGTGTCAGTGCTGCTGCTCGGCCTGTTGTGGACCAGGGCCCCAAGGGTCTGGGTAAGAAGGCTACACAGGAGTACCAGATGAAGATCTCGTCTTCCAACCAGAAGGGGCAGGAGCGGGACATTGCTCTGGGCGCCAGGGTGCAAAAGTCCGGCCGCATCAGCAAGACGCATCGTGGAAATGCCTACGGCGAGAAGGCGGTCACATTCGTTCCGCAAGGGAAGAAGAAGAACGGTGGGCCAGTGGACACTCACGACGATTCCCGGCCGCGCGATCACAAGAACAACGCAAGAAGAAGTGCCAGCTCAAACACATTCCGAAAAATGTAATGACAAGCGCTATGTATTCTCAAGGGGCATAATAATGGTACAAGAAAAAAGGACTCTATACGCTACCGCAGATCCAAGTTCGTCAGTCATCCAGTCTCGACCGCCTCAGCAAATGAAACCATTACACCAGCACCAAGCCAGTTGGGCAGCCGTCAATCCCTCAAAATCGCAAATCTTTTCTGACACCCTCGCCTACTTCCGGCCCCACCTCATCAACTTGCGCTTCGACTCTGCTTCCTTGAGGCCCTTTTCGAGATCTTCCGGGCGGAGTCTAGGCGTGGGCGGAACGTCGTCGAGCCTCGCGCGCCCGCGGTGGCTACGTGGCGGAGACGAAGACTCCTTGACTGATCTGGGGAACTCGGTCCTCCGCGGCGTGAGAGCGGTGACGACCTTTCTGGCGGACTTGCGCATGGTCTCTCTGATCTTCCACTCGCGCTTCTTGGCAACGTAGAACAGAACAGCCATGCCAACTGTACGAGTAAGGGTTTCGGGTTAGCGAATGGGTTCCTAAGGAGTTGGTGTTTAGTTTTCTTGCAATGGGGTTTTACGTACTTCCGAGAGCGCCGACAACAGAGACGACGACGATAATGGCAATCATGGCTTCGCGGGATAGGTTGACGGCCCCGGGGCTGTCACCTGAGGCTCCTGCCTCGGTGTCGACGCCATTTCCAGATGAACTGGCATCGCCAGGAGAGTCTGGATAGTATGTTTCAGTCGCCAGGGGAAAGAAGTTGGAGGTTGTGGTCGCCATCTTGATTGTAGGTCGAGGTGCCACTCGCAGAGGGCAACGGTGAAGACAGTGATATTGGAAGGATTGGGGAAAGTTCTAGAGAGGCACAGCCAAGCAAGGTAGGAAGAGACAACCGAACGAGAGAGAGAGTGTGTGTGTGTGAGCAAAAACCGGCGTCAGAATCGTATGAGTAAGGTAGAATAAAGAAGCTGAACAAAAAATCGAAAAGATACCCGGCGCCACGAATGTGGCCCAACTCACTATTTACATTGTTCAAGCGCCCGGAGCATATCTTCTCACATGGGAGTCCAGCGCCAATCGTTCAACTCCATTAACCCCTCTCCCCTTTTTCCCTTTTGCAGGCAGCCATACAGAGTCAGCGACCACTTATAGCAATGTGACTGACGAAGCGAAAGGCCCCTCTCAACCCCCCGTGCAAGTGCATAGCATTCACACACGGCACTTGCGAGGCAACGCACGACAGCACGTCGGCCGGGGGGTGGGTGGTCAAGACCCACGTCCGGGGGCGCAGGAACCGTATCGAAGCACCTTGTTAGACCGTGGGGACTCCAAGACCTCAAGAGGAAACCTCGTCTGAGCCCAGGACGGTCGAAATAGGCTCGCGACGTTCCCATTGGCGTTGAGCGGCCTCGAAGCGCCGGCACACGGCGCTTTCACATCGGGGCCGGGATGTGGTGGCCAATCAGCGGGAAGTGTCTGGGATGGGCGGCTCGGACGAATTTGGAGAGGTGGCAGGGGTTAGTGTTGAACTGCGTCCCCGTCACAATCCTACCTGTTGTGTTAGTGTATCTTTTCGACCTGCATTTCCTATTTACACTGCATGTGTGCGCGGCCGAGTATGGTTGTAAATCACTCAGACGGATTTTGAGAGGCTGACTGTCACCGGCAGTGGATGTAATATCGACGAGCTTAATTGTGTGATGGGGGAGGGGTTCTCGCATTGTCCCGTTGACATGACGATCCTGCGGTGTGATGGCGAGTATCTGGGGCTGATTTGAGGCCTATTATCCGTGCATTTAGAGAGGTGCTTTCCTGTGGCTTCTCTATCTGTGATGGCACCTGCACGTCCTGTCACTGCCACTTCTTTTTCCTCCCGCTGGCTGGCGAGAGAAGCAGAGGACAATTCGACCAAACGCGGGAGAGCCGAGTGGTACAGCAGATCGTCCATGGTCTTCCCTCGATCAAGCGCGGGCCACCTCGGTTCCGACGATGATGCCTGGAGGTGTCACTTACCGCCTGCTCTCCTTCCCGCTTATGTCGTTTTCTCGGCGGGGTTGCTTTCGGCATTGCTTGGCTCTTCCTTGGGAAATTCTAAATTTGGGGGGCGACTGCCTTGGCCTGGTTCCTCGGATGACTTTACGCATCTCTCTGACTTTGTAATCGCGGGGTTTCGTTGCCGGAGCTGGCAGGGCCAGTCAGCAAGTCGATTCAGAGGAAGGTTGTACCTGGACGGCCGTAGATCAAGCGGTCTCCTCTCCCGATGGCCATGCGACGCATAGAGAAGCCGCGGCCGTAGGCCGTCCCGGAAACTGACATTGCTGGCGTCGAGAGATGACAGGAAAGCGTCCTGAAACCGCCGAGTGCCAAAGGAGAGGCCTCGCCAGAAGAGGATCTTCTTCTTCTTCTTCTGGAATCTGTATCGAGGTTGCCTCAGTACGGCTGTGCTGATCGCCCGCTGTATTCCGCTACTTCCATAATAAGTGAGATGGATGGCGAAAAGCAAGATCAGGTAGCTCGAGCGATTAATATTGCTACTGTCTTTCAACGACTCTTCCTTCCCTGACAAAAACTTAGCAATTTGGCAAGGTAATTTGTTATGTTTTCCACTTACATCAAATTCTGTTCCGCGTCGTCAAGTCCTGTCCGTCGACGAGGGATATGAGCAAGGCTAGACCAGCTGTGTTGTACGTTCCAAGGAATTGCAGAAAGTGGGCAGTTCCTTTATTATCCGCGGGAATGGTGCTGGAGAAGGGGAGTCTAGCCCATCTGATGCTTGTGAGTTGCGCCGAACAGCAAGAGTCAACGCAAATCTGGAAGCTGGAATTCGTCATGTGCAAGAGAGAGAACCTTCTTCTTTGACAACACGGGTCTTAAAGGAGAAGGAAAGGAGGACGATATTGGAAGGCAGAGGCGGCAGTCGAACGCCGGTGGCAGCTACCTTAATGCAGTGCTCCTAGAGCGTCGTTCCTTCCACTCAATGAAAGAGGGCAGCCATGACCATACCCTTCTATCGGTCACTCCGCTGATGTCGGATCACGATGGCTCTTTCTGCAACTCATAAAAAAAGCTACATCCATGCCTTGGGGTTGCCTGAAAACCTATCTGAACTTGTGGCGCGGCAGGTAATCCAAGAGATGCTTCCCAGCACTGGAGGTCTTATCTGAATAGGTCGTGTTGTGTTGATCGTCCTCAACTTCGATTCTCACGGCCCGATCTGTCTGATCAAGCTGTTTCTTGCTTCTCCTCGTTCTCCTAGTTGTCATTTCCTTTCCTCGTCCAGATTGGCTCTCTGCTGAACTTTGTTATCTTGGACCAGAGACTCTAGATATTGACCACAGCTCGCGGCTGTAGTAACACTACGGCCTCTGGCCGCCTCCGCACACCATGGTCGTCGAATCCAGCCTCAACCCTCTTTCAGCAGATGGTAGCACGCCAAGACACGCTAGGCACAGTTCTAAGCCCCGCTCGAATGGATCCAGCCCAGATCACTGTCTCGATGACGGCTCCCAGGCCGAAGATTCACCCTCCAGTGCGGAGTCTCAACCATCGTTGCTCAGCCAGTTAGGAGCCTCGCAGCCAAACATCAACCACATTATCCAAGATGATGGGAATGAACAGTACCATATATCTCAGGTTCGCGGCAACGGGCGAAATTCTTCATGCTACCCTGAAGAAGACCCAGGCCTTGCTGAGGAGGTTGATTCGTTTGTCTTTGCACCACAGCCCAAGTACAAGCCAAATCAGTTCTCTGGCCACCAGCAGCGTCGATCTATCGACTTTGGTGCCCTGAGTGAACGACAAGATGCAGTACCTCGAGAGGACATGGCAGATCCTGGCAATGTCCCAACAATCCAGTCACGCGAACGACCAGCTTTGATAGACGGTCAAAGCCACCATTATGGCGGCGTCGAAGCCTATGCGAACGATGTGACAGCTGCTATCCCTCGGAGTGATCAAACTCAAAGAGGCACTCAGTCACAACGCTTTAGGACTACAGAAGTGAACCCGCAGCAATTGAGTGGCCACATTCAGCTACCGACCCGAGGTCTCTCAGATCAGATAAATACCAGCGCTGGGAGAGATCCAGCTCAAAATCCGAACTCGGAACACCAATCTGTCAGAGTCGAGCAGAAAGTCATTGATTATGTCAAAAAGCACATCAGTATTCGACCCTTTGCTGATGCCGATGCCATTCTTCCCTGCGACCAACGAGAGGCTCTACAACCTGCACTTGAACGAACGCCGGCTACCGAAAAGTGTATTGCTTCACGGCCGCGCAGCTCTCGGGGAGATAATGAAGGCGAACAACAGCAACGTGTGATTTCAGATCGAATGGGAAGTGTCACAAATGGCTTAGAGAACCACCTCTCCGAAACTAGCAAGCCCGTCAAGGACAATCGTATGCTGCCTCGTCAGGTATCTCGAGTTCAGGGGAACGAGGCAGTTGAGGTTCGCTCGTCTACTCCAGTTGGCGACTCGGAGTTGCCCCAGAAACAAACACCCGGTTCTACTCGCAAGGCTAGTCGGCAGTATTCTTCGCCTCGAGAGAAGTCAGTTGGACGTATCAGACACGAGCACGATGCTAGAGATGTTCCACAACGTACGAAATCACGCATCTCCAATACCTCCCGGCACCGGAGGCACCCTTCCCGCCAACCACAACATACCAAGCCGAGTCGCGAGAAAGTCGCTTCCGACTCAGAAAACCAGCAGGTTATGGCCGAGAGCCACTACGAAACACTTGAAAGCATGTCAGCTCACTACAACAAAGTTCTCAATTACTCCAAAGAAGTTGAGCACAAGATGAATAGTCGTCTCATTTGCCAGAAGCAGCAGATCGAAGAACTGGAGGCTCGATTGAGACAATATCAGACTCGTTATCAGAAAGATTGCGATCGCCGCGTACTTCTTAACTCGGAGCTTTCTCTAGTACAAAATCAAAGAGATGAACTCTCTCAAAACTTTGCTCAACAAGGTGGAAGAATGCACGAACTAGAACAGGAAGTCGTTAATATGCAAGCTGATAGAGAGACGCAAGACGAAGAGGCGGCCAGATTGCGCGACGAGCTGGAAGTCGCCAAGTCCAAGCTCGACAAGTTGCAAGAGAAAAGCCGCTCATACAAGGACCACCTCAACAAGGCCGTTGCAGAACACCAACAACTCTGGCACCAATCCAGAGATATCGCTCAAAAGACCATCACGACTATGAGAAAGGAGCATCACGAGGCGGAAGAGAAGTTCAATTTGGCCATAGCAGAGAAACAGGCTGCCCAGGATAAGCTGAACCGCATTTCCAAAGACAGACAAGTACTTCTCCAGCAGGAGGTGGCGGCGGGTAAGCAGACTCGATTCAAAGATTGGAGATCGATGTACTAACAATAAGAAGCGGCATCAAAAGTCGGACACATGACGTCGGCCCTGGGCAATCTTGAGAAAGATTTCCATTTCGAAGTGCAGAGAGCCAAGAAATTGGAGCAAGAGCTTGTCGATGCGAATGGCCTAAAGGGTCTGCTGCACCAGGTCGACGAGCGTGTGGCCGAAGTCTCCTTGAAGATGGATGACCTACAAGCGTGCTCTATCGAAGCGCCTGCTATGCCAACCGAGGTCATGAAAAGGTACTTCTCAATTGTCCTTGTGTCGTCCGCATGTAACTGATTGCCGTAGGCTGGGCGAAATTGCGGACCATGTGCAATTCGCCCCTCATGTGAACGTTGAAGACGAGATTCGGCGAGCTTTGAAGACCTTCCAAAAGGAAATTATGCCACGGTAGGTATCCGCCGGTATATTCTAACCCTTTAACTAACGTATTCCCAGATTTTCGAAAGAGTTGAAAGCCATGGTGAGTGATCAGTCCATCGAAGAAAAACTGCAAAGTCTCCAGGAGACGCTTCAGGACCAAGTGTTGGCGATCAAGACCGAGCGCAAAAATCATCATGAACAGTTGATGCTGCAACTTTCAGAAACAAAAGAGGAGAACAACAAACTCGCCCAGGGTCTCCTAGCAAAGGATGCGGAAATCGCAGAGATGACCAACTCTGTCTCTAAACTCAATCAAAAGCTACAAGAGGCAAGAGACTCCGCAGAGTTAGTATCGAACCAAGCAGCAACCACGGAAGAAGAGCTTCGAGCGTTAGAGCAGAGTCTCTCGGGCAAGGATTGCGAAGTCACAGAGACCCAGACTGAGCTTCATCTCCAGCGAGAAGGGCACGAGACTAAAGTTCGAGAGCTCCAGGAGCAAATACGAATTGCTGAGGAAGACGCCCATCATCAACGCCAGCTTGCCGAAGAGTCGGAGAAGAAACTCGCAGAAAAGTCCGAGGAAGATACCGAAATGCAAACGCGGCTGAACAGCTCAGGAGAATCTCTGCACCAGGCTCAGCAACAGTTGACCATGGCCGGGGCGGAGCTCGAACGTCTCAAGGCCTTAGAGAGTGTTATCAGAGCATCGAAACTCGAAAATGAGTTGGAAAATGCTCGTCAAAGAATTACCAATCTCACACTCAAGCTTCGCGACACGCAGGTTCCGGCTGCTATCAATAGCCAGCTTGATCAGGTAGCTGAACAGCTTGCCCAGCTCCACACCCGGAAGGAAGACATCAAGCAGCTCAGATCAAACGGCAAGGTATACGCAACGATCAGTAAGGTCCTTGCAAAAACACTCGACAGAAAAGACACCACAGAAAGCGACGACATTCTGATCCCCGACAGTCTCGTGCTGCCGACGCTTCCCGTGTTGCTGCAACTAGATGTCTACGACCCTCTGAATAACTTTCAGCCGAGCTCCTCTGACATCCCGCTGATACGAGCCAGCAAGCGAACAGTCTTCCGCAGTCCTGTTGAAGAGTCGGAAGACGAGTTGCCTGCGCCATCAGTTGAACAGGAGAAGTCGCAGCGAATGGATGTAGCCACTCAGGGATCCCGGATCAGATCGATCCTCCGCCCACAGAGAACTCCCACTGCCAGAACATCAAAGGTAAGTATCGATGCCATGGTGGCGCGCCATGCAGGACACTCTTCGTACAACCGACCCGTTCAAAGTGCTCCCAAGTCCAGTCAGGAGGCCATCTTGGATGTCAAGAACAGCCTCGTGGGCAACCGCAAAGCAACGCTCGGCGATTTGGCCAACCCTAACGAATGGGAGAGACTTGAGGGACCAGCGAACCATGCGGAGCAGCGAGGAACCAAGAGATCTAGCAATTCTCAGCAATGGTCTCGAGGCCCGAAGCGGTCGAAACCATGCTTCACTGAGAACGAAGATAACGTTGAAACTTTGCAAGTTGCGAGAAGCAGTATGGATGACCGTCTCCGAGCTGAGCCGCCGCCAGAGCGCAGCAAGAAAGACGGTAACAAGGTGCATGCAACGATTGCGCAGGATGATGATCAAGTTTCCCACCATTTCTTATTAAACGCTTCTAAGCCGAACGAGAGCGCAGAACGTGGGGGCAAGTGAACGCCGAACTCTCACAGTAGCCGCTGCGCAGTGAATCGCACACCGTGGCTAAAACGAGATACGAATTATCTTCAGAAAAGGTCTGCAGCTTCTTTAGTATCACCCATTGGGGTCAATTTTCTTGGACGTGGGCGAAGGATTCATGTGTGGTGGATTCATGCGGAGGAATATTGCATTTATGCAAGGTTTGTTCTCTTTTTGTAGAATATACAACTAGGTCGTGGCCATCGAAGCATTCGCTTTCGTTCCGCCTCTGGGGCACAGTCCGACGTGCCAATGCCTTGTCCCTGACGATAAGTCTGAGGGATTGCAGGTTGATGATGTACAGTTCATCCATGTGGTCTTCGAGCCCCAATCGTATGCCGCCGTGAACGCCGTTTATGGTGATATCAGTGTTGTTACATATGGTGGTGATGGTAATTCGAGAATACGCGGGCTCATTTTCCCTTCTTCTTCTGCTCCAAGAATAGCACCTTTCGCCGAACTGTAAATACGTTAGCCCTGTCATCCCTATCTCCATCTCATGGCGTGTATCGAATGGCGCTCGCCCTGAGAGGGGCGTCATGTGTGTTGAACCGGAATGAAAGGGATTCGCATACTGATTGGGTCGTATTTCAGCAAGCTCATGGGTGTTGCGGTTCGGAGACGCTTGACAGTGTAGAAGTAACCAGTCGCGGCCATGGACAAGAGCCGGACGATCATGACACGGGACTTCGCTGTTGGACAATATCAGTTAGCTTTGTAATTCAATTAGGAGCGGCAATGTGATCGAATGGAGCGCAGAGGGTGTGCATACCTTTCTTGGCCATCTTGAAGGGGAGTTTGCGCCGCACGCGGTTGGATAGCTTGAGGCTTGGACACGGGTGGACGGGATAGCTTTCGCAGTATGGAGACTGGAATTTTGCGGGTGGTGAGAGACTGTCGGCGGAAAAAGGGCCGTTCACCGAGGTACCGGGTTCGGTGAGAATTCGGTGTGTTGGACGTGGGCCTCGATATGGGCCAGCCTGTGACAGGTGGTGCCAGCTGGCGCGGAGATGGATGATCGCATGGCATTGTGTAAAACAGTCTCACTCATTTTCTCCTGGAATCTCTATCAATAGGAACTTTTGTGACGTGATGTTGGTCAAGTGATACATCTTGGGAAGAAGCCAAGCAAAGAGGGGCAAAAGGGGCCATGATGGATCGAGGAACTGGAGCATCTTGCAACATGAGAAGCATGGAATTACAGGCTTGCTGCTCGGGTTATGCCAGCCTCCAGCGGTCAAGCTGCGCGGTCAAAAGTCTACGAGATCGTAATCCGAGCAACGGAGATGTTGGTTGGTGAATCTCGTTCAGGGTCCTTTCTCGGTCAATAGCTCTAGCCAACCTCTGGATCCCCCCCCCGTTGGGCCCAGCAGCTTTTTTAGAGCTTGCAGGGACCTGGGGGCATGAAGCGTCACCGCCATCAAATACCATTTTCCATGCTCGGACGGTGATAGTCTACTACATTCTGGGTTTGGGTTGCTGGAGCTGGGTGGGATTCCTGTACCTCTTTTTTCTTTGCGCGCCCTTCCCTGCACGCGGCCCTTTTTTGAGGTTGAGCCCGCAGTTTGTGAGGTAGTTTTATCGCGAATACCTAGGTAGCCCCCCCCCCCGACTCCCGAGTGGTTCGTTCGCCCGCCGGCGCCGGGCTTTGAAGGGGGTGGGCAAGCAAGTGGTTATCTCGCAGCTCGGGTCGCGTTTCTCAACAGATCCATGGGCAGGGCCGTGGCCGTGGCCGGGGAAAGCAGCAGCAGTAGTAGCAGCGGCAGGATGGTGAGAGGAGGAGGAGGGCATAAGAATTTGGTGTGAGCAGGCGGATGGGTTAGACAAATAAAGAGGAACGGACATCCTGTTCCTCCTGTCTTGCCTGCTTTCGTGAAGGGTGGTGGTTCAGGAAGGCGTGCACTTTCCAAAGTCGTGGCTCTGAGACTTTTTTTCTTCCTCGCCTTCCCTTTCCTTTTCGCAATCTCAGCTGTACGGATACGTACTTGACGATCCGGACCGCCTTCAGGCCGCCGAGAGCAGACCACGTTTCGTCGTGGAATTTCTCTTTCTTCGACACCATTCGAGTCGCGCATTTCCAGTAACGGAGGATACCAAGTGACACACTGAATACACCGTACACCGAAGTTGAAAACGGTGAATCTCTCCACGAAACTCTACATTCGACAGACCAACCGGCCGACCGTGGCGCATTATTAAATTCCGACCAACACCACGATACGTTTGAAGATGGCGGCGAACAGAGTGGCATGCACCGTGGCCAGGTCGCTGGGAGCACCGAGGAGTCAGGCTGCCGCAGGCCAAGTGCGATTGATGAGCAGCGGAAGCAGATCAAACAGTACGTCGCAAAGCTGAACGTATTCTCTTTCCACCGTTTTAGAGCAGCTTGTTCGCTTCAAGCTGGTGTTTGTTGCCTAGCCCTTTTACCAAGCCAGAAGCTATTCCTGTCACCCATGAAAGTGGAAGGTTGGTGCAGCTCGAAGCTATCCCAAAGCTCGCCTGTCCAGCACCGCTCAAACGGGACAGCTCCCGTCCAAGCTGCGCTTTCCTCCCCCACCTGTTTTGCGCGCCAGCTTACACCGTACGCCACGTCTCTTTATTTGCCATCCTTCACCGAACAAACGGACAAGGCACTTGATCAATTTTATCTCTCAAGTTCGATCAAGCGCCCATGAATCCCACGTGGACCCCCACACTTTCCATTCTCCTATTGCATGAGCAATTGCATTTTTACACCAAGGCGTCGAGGACTCGGAAAGACCCTGGCGGGAGAATCCGCAGAAGCTCCAGCCTCTAGGCGCGCCGACCGGCTTCCCCCTTGTCCTGCCGTCACCGGTTTCGGACACAGGCCTTTGAGGCAAACCCGCGCCAAACACGACCGGGTCTGATCCACGTCTTCGTCTACGACTCACCAGCGGCAGCAAGTGCTCGGCTGGCGTCCCGCACTGGAAGGGGGGGAAAACACAGCCCGTCATGGAAGCCATCCCGCGGCAGCACAGAAACGATGCCACGCAGGGTCATGTCTCGTGCCCCCGAGGTCACAGTACCAGCCCAAGTAGGCTTGCGGCTGTCAGAGTTATTGAATAAGAGCTTCTGCATCGGACGATGACGGGAAGAGCATGCGCTGATTTCCTGTCAACTTTGCCGTCTTTTTCTTCCCTCTGTCCGTTTAATCCGTCAATTTAACATTGCGCACTGTTGTAACGGCCCCCCGCGTCCAAGACCGACTAGATACTTATTGAGGTTCCCTTCGTTGACGAAGAGCTAAATAAATAGTGGTTGAGTTGGCTGCGTACGTTTTCAGGCATTTCTTGAGACTCATTCTTCCCACTGTTTCTCTAATCATTCCCAAGTTTCTCTACTTTTTGCTCGGCTCTTCCCGGTGTTATCGATCTGAGCAAAGGTGTTTTTCTACCTTGATCTCCACTGTTGCGCGGCAGAAGCCCTTTTACTAACTTTTATATGACTCTTGCACAGATACCCCGCGGTCCCCTAAGATCTTCCTCTCCAATACCCCGCCATCTCAGAGGCAACTTTTCTTCAGCAGCAGCAACAGCCGTTCGTCACCCCACCATCGAACCATGTCTACCACACCGAGCCGCCGGCTGAATGTGCACAACATCAACCAGCATGTTGTTGCTGCCGAGTACGCCGTTCGCGGCGAGCTGGCTGTAAAGTCGGAGGAATACCGAGCGAAGCTAGCCAAGGGTGATAAGGACCTCCCCTTCGACGCCGTCATCTCGGCCAACATCGGCAACCCCCAGCAGCTCGACCAGAAGCCCATTACCTTCTTCCGCCAGGTCGTCAGTCTTCTCGAGAACCCCCTGCTCCTCGAGCACGAGGACGTCTTGCTGAACCAACTTGGATACAAGAGCGATGTTATCGCCCGCGCCAAGTTCCTCTTGAGCAAGGTCGGCTCTGTTGGCGCCTACAGTGCCAGTGCTGGTGTTCCCGCTATTAAGGAGAGCATTGCGAAGTTTATTGAGCGTATGTTCTCATTACGGTTCACCTTGCGCTGAGTATGAAAACTGACAGAGATCTCTGCAGGCCGAGACGGATTCCCCGCCGAACCCGCCCACATCTACCTCTCTGGCGGTGCCTCTTCCGGAGTTAACACTCTCCTTCACATTCTCGCCCAGAACGCCCAGAGCGGTGTTCTTGTGCCCATTCCTCAATACCCGCTCTACACCGCATCGCTATCGCTTCTCAACGCCACCTGCGTTCCTTACTACCTCGACGAGGCCGCAGGATGGGGTACCGATCTGAACACCATCAAGGCTGCCTACGAGAAGGCCACCTCCGAAGGCACCGATGTCCGCGCTATTGTCATCATCAACCCCGGCAACCCTACTGGTGCCTCCCTGTCCGAGGATGACATCCGCGCCGTCTACGACTACGCTGCGGAGAAGCAGCTTGTGGTGATGGCTGACGAAGTCTACCAGACCAACGTCTTCGTTGGCAAGTTCCACTCCTTCAAGAGCGTTCTGCGCAAGCTGCAGAAGGAGACCCCTGGCAAGTACGACGGCGTCGAACTCGCCTCTCTGCACTCCATCTCCAAGGGTATGGTTGGTGAGTGCGGTCACCGTGGCGGCTACTTCGAGCTCGTCAACTTCGACCCCGAGGTCGAGGCCAACATCTACAAGTTCGTCTCCATCACCCTCTGCGCTCCTGTTATCGGCCAGTGCATCGTCGAGCTCATGGTCAACCCCCCCAAGGAGGGCGAGCCCAGTTACGAGCTGTACAAGAAGGAGTACGACGGCATCTTCAACGGCCTCAAGGAGCGCGCCACCGCCCTCCACAAGGCCTTTGACCAGATGGAGGGCGTCGAGTGCGGCGCGCCCCAGGGCTCCATGTACCTCTTCCCCACCATCAAGCTCTCCGCAAAGGCCACCGAGGCCGCCCAGAAGGAGGGCCGCACGGCAGACGAGTTCTACTGCATGCGCATGCTCGAGGCCACTGGTGTCTGCGTCGTTCCCGGTAGCGGATTCGGCCAGAAGGAGGGTACTCTTCACTTCCGCACTACTTTCCTTGCCCCCGGCACCGAGTGGGTTGGCCGCATCATCAACTTCCACAAGGACTTTTTTGAGAAGTACCGGTAAGCGAGTTTGTGGTGTGGCTGCTAGTCGTTTTCACTGTGTAAGGGGATCGTAAAGGTGCGAGGAGGCCCAGCCGCGTTGGATGGTAAAAAGCTGTGCGTAGCAACGCGTAGCAGCGAAGTGCGGCTGGGAACAGGTATGAAACGAACGAATTTGCGTAGTCTTTTTCCGGAAGCACATATCCAGGGTGGATAAAAGCAGATATCGATGAGCACTTACGAGGGCGCAGAGTAGATATCTCGTTTGTTTTGGCAACGTGTCTGGGATTTGGCATGTGTTGACAATTTTTGAGCATAGCTTGCGAGAATAGAAAGATTCCGCTCCCATGAATTCTTTAGTCTACGGCGCCATTCACGAGCATGACATATGAGCCTCGGCCAAGCCAAGATTTTTCATATTGGCTTGTCTAATCCGTAGGTATCATACAGAGAGTTATTGTAGTAGCACACATTTGCTTTGCCCCAACCCCAGTTTCTATTCGCCGCCTGCCGTTTCTACCTCGCGCCTTTTAAAGTCCCAAGCCTGACTGAGGGACAACACGAATGTAAAAGCATTGTGGTCAAAAGCTCTCCGTCATTCTCCCCGTCACCTTGCTCTTCCAAGCTGATTATGCCCGCTCGCTTCCTCTCAAACGCACAGCCTGGCCGTACTTCTGGAGCTTGGTGATAAGCTGATCGCCCTGGCGGACGACGTCCTGGTACTGCTTGTTCTTGTCGTCGGGGCGGTTGGTCTCGATGACGCCCTTGCCGCTGACACGGTCGATTGTGCAGGGGATGCGGCCGGCTGCGATGAACTTGGCAAGATCACTGGAGATGAAGTTAGTTGTTTGATCTGTCAGGTGAACTCAAAGGGAGAGAATCATACCGGTCCAGGAAGTCGACGGTGACGCCAAAGTCGGTCGCCATTGTCTCCAGGCCAACCACACGGTAGCTCTGGAGGAGCTGCTGGTAGGCGCGCAGGCGCATCTCACGGATGAACCAGTTCTTGTGCTCGTGGAGGTAGCGGTCCTGAGTGAGGAAGGACTCCTCAACCTGGGCGAGAGCCTGGAAGAAGTACTTGTACTGGCCGTTGTACAAGCTGGAGACAAGCTGGGCCAAAGGCGAGAAGTCGATAGCCATCTCGGCCTCGGGTTGGTCGGTGCTTGTTCCGAGAGTGGTCAGGTTCACCGCAGTCTTGGCAGCGGCGGGCGGTGCGTCGTGCATGGCGTCGTCGGCACCAGGACCGGCGCTGAGAGCACCAGACAGAGCAAGAAGCTTGTCCTCTCCATCACCCAGAATGGCCTTGATCTCGGGGGCGTCGACGACCTTGCTCTTGAAGTCGACACGCTTCAGGGAAACGGATCCGGCGAGAACGGAGTAGACGACGAGGGAAGAGTAGGTGCAGAGTTCGTAGCTGGTGAAGGTGGACAAGCTGTCGAGCAGCAACGGGGCGGCCAAGTTGTATGACCGAACGGTCAGGAGGTAGATACCCTCGTACGCCTTGAGACGATTGCGGCGATCCCAGTCACCGCCGGACTCGACCAGGGTCTTTGCGCGCTCAACATGCTTCTTGACAAGAAGCTTGTCGCCGTAGAAGAGCCCCATGCGGATTATTGCGAGAACCAAGTCGATCTTGGTGCCCAGGATGCCGGTCTTCTCGAAAACGTCTTCGTATGCAGCGATCGCCCGGTCCTGTCAAAGGGGTCAGTCAGTATTCCCTTGAAGAGTAGACAGTCTTTCCAATCGCACCTTGTCACCGACTCTGGCCCAGAACTCTGCGCGCTTGCCCCGCGCGGCCTGGATCTCAGTCTCGCCAGCCTTCTCAACGGCCTCATCCTCTTCCTTCTGGAACTCTTCTAACTCCTTGTCATTGTCGGCCTTCAGCTCTTGGTATCTGGCCTCATCCCAGGGTAGGTTGACTGCGGTGGGGGTGGTCTTGGTGGCAATCATGCCAGCCAGACTTGACTTCCGACTCAGCGGCTTGCCGGGAGTCTGACTGCCACCCTCGCCAACTTGGTTCAGAATGCCCTCGAGGGGGTGTGCGAGGTACCGGTAGAGCGGCGCCATCTTGTGCTCGGTGATGGCATCATTGAGAGCTTTCGCAGCGGATTGTTGAGATGGCCGGGATGCGTAGGCGTTTGTGAGGGCGAAGACATGCTGGGCGAGGGGAAGGAGAGGGTACTTTGCGTACTGGGGTTCTGAGCCCATCTTGGCGGTTGATTGTAAGAAGGCGTCTGGAAAGGGTCGTTGTCGGTTGCTAAGGAGGGGAGAAATCAAAGAGGTTGAGGCTGCGGGATGTGTTACTGGGTGAGCAAGAGTGATGTCGTTGTATGGTGGTGTTTGGAGCTGGGAGCTCAGGAAAGCCCCCAGTGGCCCCCTGCAACCCGCAAGCGTCTGTCCAAACTCTGATGTGATTGGTCTGATGCCGGGGGTGAGCTTAGTCAAGTCAGCAAGGCTGCAGTGCGACACGTACCGGACCTGCCTGCAAAGCACGAGACAACCCACACTGCGCCTACCTACTTACTCGAGAGGCCGAATTGCGTTTTAAAAAAGCCCGGAGTCAGTAAATGACTTCTTTACAAGCATACATAGATTGAAGCGAGAGGAATACAGTCTAAATTGCCTTACTTAACATGAAGATGATTATGTCGGATCCAGGGTGGGAAAGAGCGCTGCTCTCTAAAGCCACACCTTCCGTGTAATACACCTCTAAGTGGGTTTTACCTTCTCTCCCAGCAGGTACCCCAGTATCCTCCCCCTACCTACGTGCCTACCTATCCGCACCTACTTGCGACGCTCAGCAGCTTTTGTTCCACTCCAACAATACATAACAACTTTCTCACATCCGTACCTGCACATACAAGGTCGAAAACAACCAAATCACACTGCAACCTCCGCGGGAGACGAGGATATTTGCCCTTTCAAAGAATTCTCACGTCTGACTCGAGACAATGGCGGGTTACGACGACGACGATTTGTACGAGCGACAGTCTCATTCATACGACGCGAAGAAACGCAAAAGATCACAGTCGCCCTCGAGAAACGGCAATTCCTCGCGAAGAGGCAACAAGCGCGAGGACGGAACCGATGAACTTCCACAGCCCTACAATGCGAAGGAGCTTCAGCCCGCTAAGCGCCGAGCCGTCTCGCCCTCCGAACAGCCTCGCAAGCAGAAGCGACCGGGTGCCCGAGCCCGCATCTCTGAGTCCGAAAGAGAGGCCATCCGCCAGAGAGCACTCGACAGAGAGAAGGAATTGGAAGCTGCGGCCCACGCTGCTGCTGAGCGTCAGCGCTCGGGCGGTGCCAACAATGATGTTGTCACGCAACATTACAACAGTGTACCAGAGCGTGGTAGGGACTGGAGACGAACCGATAGTAAGATCAAGGGCCTGCGCGCCTTCAACAATTGGATCAAGAGTTGCATCATTCAGAAGTTCTCGCCAGACGAAGACTACACCCCGGGCTCTCGTGAGCCGGGCGCAAAGGAGCTCCTCGTGCTCGACGTTGGTTGCGGAAAGGGAGGTGACCTCGGCAAATGGCAGCAAGCACCTCAATCAGTAGAGCTCTACGTCGGTCTCGACCCTGCAGATATCAGCATTGACCAGGCTCGAGAGCGTTACCGTCAGATGGGCAGCCGCGGAGGCGGTGGCAGAGGCGGTAGAGGAGGATACAGACGACCACCCCCTCGTCTTTTCGAAGCACGCTTCCAGGTCAAGGACTGCTACGGCGAAAACATTGAGGACATCGAGATCATCAGACAGGTCGGATTCGACACCAGCCCCCTCAGCCGACGAGGATTCGATGTCGTGAGCATGATGTTCTGCATGCACTATGCCTTCGAGACGGAGCAGAAGGCTCGGACCATGCTGCGCAACGTAGCAGGCTCATTGAAGAAGGGAGGTCGCTTGATCGGATGCATTCCCAACTCTGACGTCCTTGGTGATCACGTTCGGAAGTTCAACGAGCAGCAGGAAGAGAAGAAGAAGAAGGCTGCAGAAGAACCGCCGCAAGAAGCAGAGGAGGGCGAATTGGAAGATGGTGAGGCAGACCAGTCGGCGGAATGGGGCAATTCCATCTACCGGGTCCGATTCCCAGGCAAGACACCTGCTGACGGCGTCTTCCGCCCGGCATTCGGTTGGAAGTACAACTTCTTCCTCGATGAAGCTGTCGAAGAGGTCCCCGAGTACGTTGTGCCGTGGGAAGTCCTCAGAGCTCTTGCTGAAGACTACAACCTCGAGTTGCAGTACCACAAGACTTTCATGGAGATTTGGGAAGCGGAGAAAGATGACGAGACCTTGGGTCCTTTGAGCGAGAGAATGGGGGTTCGGGAACGTGGTGGCGGACGTCTCCTTGTTTCACCAGAGGAGTTGGAGGCGGCGAGCTTTTACACTGCTTTCTGCTTCTACAAGGTCTAAACAGGGAAGTGGCATAGGAACAAGAGAGTCAGGTCTAGCAGGAAATACACCGCTTTCTGCTTCACAGGGTCTAACCATTGGAAGTAGCAAGGAGGTATGCAAGTCAGGTCTAGCAGGAAACCTTAGGAAATTTCAAGAAACCCCAAAATACCCTATCTGGGTCAGGGTACGACTAACTGTGTTGCTTGAAGAACCTCATTGTGATATTGAGCATCTCTCTGTGCAGATATATACTAGTCATCCCGATCTATAAACCCCTTCCACCCTGATCAGTCCACCGTGCCGATGTTCTCGCGGTCGAATCCAGTCTATGTCGGGATGAAATCCTCAAACATCGCCATGAACATTTCTGTGGTGCGATTCTCTGGGCTCCTTTTGAACAAATCGACAAACATCGAGTTAAGTCTGCATTCATCTTCCCACAATTGTTGGTCAAGTGTTGCGTCCCACCAGAGGCTGGAGTGAAGACGATCGACCTTGGGTCTATGAGCGCGGGCTTCTACAAGGAGCCTCAGTAGAGCCAGTGTGGTGTTCTGGGTCGTTGGCCAACCGAGGCTAGTGGTCTCGGATGTGACGCCAAATTTGGGGCCGGCCGAAGGGTCGGACGTGTCGTGGATCTCGACGCTCTGCAACTCGTAGTCGGAGACCTTAGTTTGGAGATCGGAAATCAGGCCTATCGCCCGGATATATTTCTTTAGAATCCTGAAGCTGAAGGAGGAAAAGCATCTGAGTGCGTCGGGACTTGCTCGAATCCATGGCTGGATATGTTCGGGTTTCAATCTTTCCATGATGGCGAGGTGGATGTCTACTGGTAGACGGTTGATTGTCGACATTGCTGCGGTTGCGAAGGCGAGGAGTATCGAGTTTGAGACGAGAAGAATAACTTATTGGCTACGGTGATCGTGGTGTAAGGAAAGAGCACTCATGCGTTTCGTTGAACCTGCTGTTGCCTTTGCGTATCCTCTTGTGTATGAGATGGAGGTCTGGGAAGAGATGATGAACGTCGACTAGGGCAAGAATTGCGAAAACAGGAACGAATTCTCTTTCATTAGTAGGGGGGGCTATGGGTTTGAAATTTTCGAGCTACCTTACCGTCTTGAGCGCAGCAATATGCTTTTTACAACCCGTCTGGACCATCATGGCCCAGAATATCGCTCACCTCTCTGGCTACCTCATAGTCAACAGCTTCTAGCCTTGGGCCAATTGATCAAAAGCAAGACCGCGGTCTCCCTCGGGCAGGGAAGACGAAGTACTGCAAAATCGGCGCCAGAGGTCTAGAGGTAGCCCCTCTCTGAGATACATTCTAATCTTCTGGAATCGTTCTTGAACGTTCTGATAGTGCTGCGAATCAATACAGGATGCATGCTTCATCTGGGGCAGTACAAAGATCGTCTGGTTTCAGCTGTACTTGGAAAAGACCTCTACGGGCGGCAAGTCCAGGCCTTCCAGAGCCATCCATCCCACTGCCTACAATGGTTTAGAGCCTACTATCGTCAGGCCAGAAGAGTATTTGACGGGTGATCTCGTAGACGCAGACTTGTAGTTGGAGGGTGAAAGTGCCTGACGGGCAAGAAGTCAGATTCGGGAGGGAGGCTTGCGACCTCACTTGAGCAGTCGAAAGCCCGCCAAACCTATGAGCCGATGGCAGTCCGTCTCTCTCACCTTCCTCGCCCGATGTGCTGCGCTCGCTCTGTCATCACATTCTCTCTGTTCATTTCCTACGTACGTAGGACTCTTGCCATTGAAACATCAAAGAAACAGGCCTCTCTTTTTCCATCACATGTGATCAGTACAGCCTCTCTTTCCCACTAAGGCATGTCAAGTATGACTCTCTAGAATTGCGGATGGGGGCGATGAATGATTTGGCGGCTGGCCACGGAGGGGCACGGAATCTTTCGGCAATCGCTTAGCGTACGTGACAGAAACCTTAAAACAACGACGGTCAAACTATTGGTCGTGATACGCTTAGTCGATAAGTTAACATAATGATTATGGTGGAGCTATTGGTGCCTGAAACGAATGAAGCAAGTTTCCCTCATGTATTGCCACCCTTCCGTCAAATACCGTACATATATAGTAAGAGATAGGGAAGTCATCATTCCCAGACACAAGAAACAAACCAGGACCCTTTGCTATAAACTGCCACAAGATTCGTAGTGAGTCATACCACTCCCTGGAAATATGTTGAATAGATCCTTAACGAGAAATGTAGTACACAAGGAAATTTTTCAGTTGCCACCCTGAGACGGAGTGTCTCGGCCCAGCTCCTGGAGAGATCTTGCTACCGTGAGCAGGAAGTCTCCCACTGGATTAACAGATCCAACTTGCTCGAACCATTGCCAAAGGCAGAGTCGAGCTATGAATACCTCCAAATAGCCGAGGACGTAGAACAGTGCCTCTAGGCCATTTGTCGGAACGTTCGCACCAGTTAGTGCGAGTCATGGGTTTGTCGTGCGTGAAAGGTTCTGTTCAACGAAGCAAATTCGTTTTGGTGTAGCAAACATCCAGAACCATTTCGTAGTCTCCGGTAACATGCCGACTGCAATCCAGCAGCTGCCCGTCATTCAAGTTGCTGACCATCATCCCAGTCCCCCGCCCATGGCTGACCGGCAAAAAGGTCCAACGCGGCTGCAGCGTAGTTGGACTCCATCTGAGGGACGAGGTTGGAAGAGGTTTTCGCCGCCTCCGGCCCAGAGAAGTTTCCGCGACTGCTCTGAAGGTCCGGCTGAAGACTAAAATCCGCCGCCCTGAGTGTACTACTGCCGTCTCGATAAATAGACTGATGACCAATAGGTGCTTGGATGATGTCGGTAGAGTATTCGCAATGAGACGAGAATGGCTGGTTGCCTTCCAAGGGGTTCTGGAACACCAATCTATCCTTTCCTTTGACGCTAGTGTTGAAGCTTGATTGATCGTCCACTGGGAAGGGTTCTGGCTCTGGCACATTCTGTTTTGGGAGTTGACTGGGAGTCATCGCAAAAGAAGTCGTCGAAGTCAACGTCTTCGGCGCCATTTCGGTAGAAGTGCAGGATGGAACACCGCTACGAATACTGCTTGCCGAGGGATGGCCCGGAGGATAGGACCCGGGGTACAGAAATCCGGGGTCTCTAGTTTCTCGAGGAACGTGAAGCAACGTTGCTGATGTATCCACTACGTTATTAGCCATAGTTCTTCTCTCGTATCGGTATAAATCTTACCTCTGTCAATAGGGAGCTCGCTAGGGTGCGAATCCGAGAAACTCCAAGGATGTAAGGAAAGCCTTTGTCGATGGAGATCAATGGTATCACATAGGTCACCGTCTACCCCTGCCTTCTTCATAAGTTCAATCATCTTAGCACCCACGATGAGTTCTGCCCCTGCTGGTCTCTTGAAATCGTTCGGTACCACTGCGATGTTCCATACGCCGCAAAAGATCTTTTGCGACCAGTACACCAGGGCAGCTACTGTCGCGAAATTCTCGGGATCGAAGTAGCCGTGGGGGGTAACTATCTTCTCAAAGCCGGAAGGAGGCTTTGGCATAATGAACACACCGAGCTTGTCGGCCGCGGATTGAGTGATGATAGAACCGGAACAGGATGAGTCAAAAACGGTATTGAGGAAGGTGAAAGGAGTATCGCATCCTTCTTGACGAATTCCCAGGGACAGTAGCCCCTGGTGTAGTTGTGTCAGCGGTGTCTGAGAGAGGCCATGATATGTAAGAAAGCTGGTCCCGGAGAGAGAGGGTACAGAGGCGGTTCCTTTCCGCGTAGAGAAGCCCCCTCGGTTTCTGCTATTATTATAAGATTCGAATCTCTGTATTTGACTTGATGCGATAAGATCCGTATCTTGATTTCCATAGTTACGGTACTCCAGGTTGCGGGATGTTGTTATTCCCAGCGGGGGGTCGGAAGAGCTCAGCCTCGGGGCCGCTCGTGCTTTGGATACACCTCCAGGTTTCCCTCTGTTCCTCCTGCTAGTTGCAGAAGCTGAAGTCGAAGGTGTCGTTCGAGTAGTTCGATGTGTCGGAGCCTTTTGACGGCCTGGCGTAGCAGACGAGGGGCGTGCAGACGGAAGTTGGCGGGAAATCTGGCCCAGTGCGGTCTTGTGATGCCCACCAAGAGGTCCCCCGTTGTTTTGTGACCTGATGCTCGTTCCAATCACTTCTTGTCTGAGAAGGAACAACGCGGTGTCATTTTTGTCGGTGTTTGATGCGGTCTGTATCAACGGACGTCTTCGTTTGGCTCTTTCATAACTCCCATCATTCATGAAGTTCCCGTGCATTGTCACAAGTTCGTCTCGAGGTTTTTCGATCGAAACCAGCCTTCTCTGTGTTGCCTCAAAGTGGGGTTTTCAGCTTTGAGAATGTGTGGGTCGACGGTGGGAGGCATTATTTGGTTCTCGGAGACAGACAAGACAGAAGGAGCAAGATGAACCAGACTCCAGACTCCCGAAGGAGGGTGTATATGAACGGGGTATAGGAAGGAAACAAGACGAGCACTCAAAAACTGGCGAGAGAGTAACAATGGGAATTTTGGTGACAAGTTCTGAGTAGGCTCCCAACCGGAGGCCCTCATAGGAGGGAAGGTCGAATAAATGATAAGATATCCGTACCGGCACCCGACTCAGTCTCTCAGCTACCAAGTCTTAAAGAGACTGAAGTAGGTGCGCAAGGGGTCCTCCAACGTTAGCGAGTGAGTACTGCGGTGCCTGCAGCTTCGGTACTTGTTGAAGGGAATTTTCAATTCCAAAGCACATCAACGAGTATTTCACTGATGTAGTGAGGTACCATTGTCAATTCCATGGGCCTCCTTGGACGAGGCTCCCCCGAGTTTTTCTAAAACGACGAGGCGTATTTGTGAGAAGATCTGCAGCTGCATTGAAATGGGCTACCATTCCCATGCATCTAAGCGCATGGAAGGGAGCCCGGGTGGATAAGAGGGCAAAGACGAGGCAACGAGATGGGGAGTTGGAATTCCAAGACCGAGCATCCATTACCGCTGAACCCCCAGGGGAAGTTTACCTTGGATCTGAACATGTTCTCATCTGCTACCGTGCAAGTAGGAGTGGTTTTGCCCGCTATCCAATGGCTTCTGACACCGTACAAAATCTAGCGTGGGTTATTCATACAATATCAAGGTAGTTCTCCGCAAGAGCGATAGTCATGATCGTCATGCTGAACCAGCACTCGAGCTCCCTTGATTCCTCTTGTCTCTCGTAATCGCTCCCAGCTTTCCACGGTCTCACCTGGGCATCGTCTCTCGACTACCACTTGCCGATGCTGCCAGTCTTCGGACCCGTCTGCCATACCCCCTTCTGGGTGTATCAAGAAGCAGGCTGTCAATAGACTGCTCCCCAAAATGACAACAGATACAGACCCGCAAATGCGATTGGGTAGAGGTTGCATAAGAATGCAGCCCAACCCCTCTTTTGCTTTCGAAATGGAAATTCCAATTCTCAATCAAATCCTTGTAAGCCACGTCAGACGAGAGCCCGTTGACCATGGAAACAAGTTCGGGGCTGTTGTCTCACAAGTTGCGGTGGTTACTTGGTTGCAAATCCTTGGTTGGGCCTTGTAGTACTCGGCAGGCTCATTGCTCCGTCACATACCGAACATGCAGGATTGATAGGTCAATTGAATTAGCCAGGAAAGTGTGATCTAAGGGCTCTCAAAGTTGAGACTGCCCTTGCTCTTTAAGTATGTAAGCTTCATCAGTTATTGTTTCGTTGTAGCGATTGCTCTCCATTGAAGAACCCATTTCTGTCTCTTTCGAACACCTACTCGAGCTGGTTCCAAGTAATTTCATAGCCGTTGTAAAGCTCCGCTTGTGCTCCGGCAACCATAAACGCATTCAAAGCCCGAGATCCACAACTCGAACTGTCATGTCATGCTGTCAGGTAAGTCCTCCATCGGAATAAGTCGTGGGCCAACATCTCATCGTCAACAGGCAGGTATTACCAGCATAACACAGTGCGGCATCGGTCCGAGACTCCTTCTGAGCAAGATACGACAATCTCCACACAAAGTCGCAGAGAACACAGCAATGCGTCGTTTCATTCACCCGAAGAACACTCAGAGGCCTTGGAGCACTCGTGTTCAACTCTCACTGGAATCCCACATCTTAGTGAGAGCGATGTACTATCTGGGGGCACTCATGATACTTGCCCCTCCAGCATTGAGTGTCCCTTCTTCATAGCATACCCCCCTAGCACGAAAGCCTACATCACAGGCCCGAAGATTGAGGTTCCGGGGAACCGAAAGTCGTCCGGGACTAGCGTCAGAACCAAGAGTCGTGATCACCAAGACCTGTTATCTCGAGACCTGATAGTTACGAATGGAAGTGATGAGGACGGTTGGACTTTCATCGACAATCTAGCAGGCATAAATCTTGAATCAAAGTCACAATCTAGCAGGTCTCGATCGCCTGGTGGGAGTCTTTTCAGAAGCACGAGCGAGAAATCGGAACCTCAGTTTGATGAGAATGAAAGCCAGTCTTTCCAGGATTTCAAAACGGACCCGTCACATCAATTCTGGACATGGAGCCAGGACAAGGAACTATGGTATCACGATGACCCGAAGACAGGGAAGAGAATATGGTGTCCGAAGGAATTGAATTGATTTTCGCGCCATGTTGAGACTTGAATCTTCCCTCGACTATCAAGAGTTTGACGGGGTTAAGCTGGTGACCGATTGCTATCGTGAGGTGTAAAACGGGGACTGAAATGTTCTTGACCTCAAGCGCATGGCAAATGAAGGCACCAAGATCTACGACTTTAACTTGACATATAGAACCGTTTGGAACGCAATCGCTGTGTGTAGAGGTTATATTCAATCAAAGGCTCGCACATGATACTGTTGGCTGGCAACTGTACTGAATGTAGATCCTCATGGTCTCCTCCAAAGCCTAGCAATGGAGATTAGACTGCAACATTTATGGTTTGCGCCAGATTATCATATTATTCAGTACATATGTGCTCTCGAGTCGGGCTCAAGTTGCCTGCGAAGGCGCGATTGAAAGTTTCAAAATTTCGTGAAGAGGATTGCACGGCTTCGGATGACTCAATAAAAAACAAAGCACTGCTAGCATATCAGAGGTTCAGGGATAGCAAAACTTTTAGTTATTTAATTGAGTTGAAGAAGCAATTCGCTCCTATTCTAAATCGCTGTTCTGTTGACCGGGGTCCTCCTTGACCCTATGAAAGACTTATGACCTCTCAGCTCTTGAGGGGGAAAGCTGCTTTCTAGCTTTATAACAAACTAATAAGAAAACCCCAAAGCAGCGCCAACCAAAATACAAGACAGCACCTCGAAGCGTCATGCTGAATTGTGCTGCTCGTCGGAGAGAAACAAAGGAAAGTGATGAGAGATAATCGCTGTCCACCAGTCATTCTAAAGTCAATGTGTTCGATGATGCATATATGATAGATTTCGCTTATGCCTCTCAAAGCTGAGAGAAATTGAGCCAACACGCCGTTAAACTCTCTGATGATCCGAAAGCCTGCCAACTCATTTAAGAAGCATCATGAGATTTCCGGAGCCATGATTTATTTACGACGAGCTTTGGGCATGTAGTTTCGCGAGAGAAGGTTGCAATCGATGAGCCCTTCAGGTGTTGTCGTTTTGACTGAATGATCAACTCGCCCTTCAGCAGAACAGCGTGATGCCTCCTCTGACTCTATCGATGTTGGTATTGAAGACTGGGGTAAACCTCGAGATGTGAAGACCGGAGCATTCCCAGTACCGCTGTGAGAATCCGTAGAGTCTGGTATACCACTTTTGACCAGTCCCACCTCTCTGAATTCCATACAGGGTCCATCATCCTGGTTATTGTTGCTCAAAGTGGCTGACGACAGCCGATGCTCCAATTCGACTTTCCCATGAGCCCGTGTAAAAGATGGCGTGGCTAGATCCACGGGCCTTTCCTGGTCTGGTGTGGCCCTACACAGATCCTCTATGGGAGCCGCATAAAGCGTTTGTATTTGCCCGATTCGCTTCTGAGTTGCCTCGTAGATATATATGTCGGGGCTTTCTGGTCGATGCATCTCGCTTGATACCCCGATGCTAAGGTCTAGGAATGAGGCTCCGAGCAAAGTCCCGCGGACTTTAAGAGGGACAAACTCGTCTGCATCTCGTGACTGTAGATGGAGTGTTGGTGTAAGAGGGAAAGTTCGATAGCCCAGATCTTCGACGAAGTTGCGAGTGACTATTGAACGCGTCATGCCAACTATGTGCACCGCTCTTCGCAAATGAGAAATGCCTTGATCATCTATGGCTTCGAATATGTAGGGGATGTTGAGATCTGAATTCGAATACTCCAGATCCAGTCGATTCTCGTCATCTTCATGTATTGAGTTTTGGCTCGATGCAGGTTTTGGCGTCTTCGATGGTCCATTCGCGCCTGTTATAGAAGGCATACCGAATTAAGTTGTATTATGACAGGCAGTGGCTGGCACTGCCCTAAATCTCCAAGATCCTTTACTTGCTAGGTGGGATATAAGGAGGGGATCTCTGCGCGTCTATGCTGAAGTCGAGACTCTCACGTATGTCGAAGTAGATCTTTATGTTGCGTCTTAGTGGATAGTAAGTTGCCGTGAGTCCTTGTCGTTATCGTCGTTGTAAAAAAATCCTTGGACGTAAGGCTCTCTGATGAACGAAAGCTTGAGGTACCTAGTGGTGGCGGTCTTACGAATGTTGTTATAGAAGAAAACAAGGATAAGGTCGGTCAAAGTTGTTGAGGTCGGGCGATGCGGTGTAGCGCAAGGATATGACTAGTTATTGCGATGGTTTTGAAATTGGAATTGTGGATGTGCTGTCGACTTATGTTCTGGCAAGTGTGCAGGACAACACGATCACTAGTGGCGAAGTTCAAGCAGTTTGACTTGACCGCCAATATTCTTTTGTGGCAGCTTTGCATGAAGGCAACAGAAATGCCACTTTCGTCGGCGCACTGCTCCGCCTCTTCGTCGCCTGAAAACACTACCTCAGTGTGAGGCGTTCGGTGACAATGAAGACTGCTATTGGGCCCCTCATCAGGGAACCGGGAATAGAGAGCAGGCGACCAAGCTAAAGACTCAACTCGCTTCAAATGAGGAGCAGAAGACTGTGTGATAAGTAAAGCTTCTCCTCCGCATTTCGGAACCAACGTTCGGGGATTGGGCACCACCGCCGGAATGTCAATAATATTGGCGGCGCATCGTACCATCCAAAATTCCAAAACACAGTAGAATATCGAGCTGACCAGGGAATATTCTTCCCAGGAGCCGGAGATATACCTAAGGTCCTTGCATATGCATTGTTCTGCAGGACGCGACCAGAATTGTAATTACAAAACGGTCTCGTATTCCTCACCGAACCGGCTGAGCCTGGGTGTCTTACTTAGTACAGATGGCCATCCTTAGCGCTTTCGAGGCGCTCGCACTTCTCAGGTGGCCGCTTTTCCGACCCCAATTTGATCATCAGGAGTACTCATTCAAAATGAGAATAGCAACGTTGATTTGCTCCTATACTTCGCGATAATGTAGAAGCAGCGACTGGCATCATGTGGCACTAATCAGGTTGTCCGTGGGCTTAGGGCCAATCAAATATCAAGGCTAAAGTACCATACTGCTAAACATCTGCTTCGAGTTAGAAGGCATCAGGTATCACAGAGGAACTAGAACCTGGTGACGATTCGGTAGGAGGCGATGCGGAATCAAGTGCAATTGAGGTGTTCTAATGAATGCGACATATCTTCACTCTTGGGCGTTTCCGAGGCAGCCTCGTTCTTTCTGACTTGTGGACGTACTGTGCCGCGAAGTTAGGTTGGAGACTGGCACGCTGGTTGAGTCAGAAAGCCAACTACTATAAATATTTCAAGGCATTGGCAAAAGGTTGCGACTTCGATGAACATCAACATCGTTCCCACATCCATAGGATCTGTCCCTCTTTCCAACGACAGATTCCTTCAAATACCAGGGCAGTCCACGCCTCGCCCTCGAGTCTGAAATCCATATTCACGAGCCATCATATCTATACACTTGTACGTATTATTCCTTGATCGCCTCAGCTACATGGAGTTGACGAGAAGTAGATGTACCCCAAATCAAGAGGAAGATCCTACCCAAAGCATTTAAGACGGCCACTACAGAACGAATGGACCATGAGACCACACAGCTACCGTCATGTATTGGTTCGCCCAATTCCTCACCTGGGAGTACCTCAGTTTCGGAGTCTTGCAGCCGCAGCTCGATCTCCAACAGCTCTTCCTCGTCCCAAACGCAGGCCACAACGAATTTCAGTGCAGCGACTAAAGAGCAACCGGGATGTGATAGAGAGAGTCTGCTGGTACTGCAGCGGACCTTGACCGAAGATGTGGAGGGACCCAAAGACTCTATCACGACGAAGCCTCAAAGGGATATTGGACCAGTTGAACGAGAATTTCACGCGGATCCTTCTCACGAGTTTTGGAAATGGTGTCGAAACACACAGAACTGGTACCATAAGGTGACCGAAACCGGATCGGTTTTATGGGCACCCCATCAGCTAGATTGAACCTTTCATTATGTTTCTGAATAGACTAGGCTTTTCGGTTTGGGAGTTTTCTTTGACTTTGGAGTATAGCGTTGATCTTCAATCTTCGATTCAGACATTCGTTTACCCCGTTGATTCGTGGAGCTAGATAGGGGCGAAGGTGACACAAGGATGCATAAAGTAGACAAATTGTATCGGATAATGAGGGCTTGGAGCATGTTTCGGTTGATTTCGAATTATTAGCAGAGCACAAATCATCACTGTCGATTCATCATATCATTCAGCTGTAACTACCTATCTTGGGAGTTCCATCCAGACCTCGTGGCCTATCCAAGCTATGGGCATGGCTCTGCATTTGTTGAGACCAATAAGTTGGTGCCAGAATCCAACTAATACATCCCACAAACAACCCGCTTATTCCCATATCCAAACCACGAGGTAGATATTCTAGCTGTTAGTAGAAGGAAATCAGGTACCGTGCCTGTCAGGCTATGAAATCGCGAAAGATCACTGGCAATCCATATCGACCATGCCGTTGCTTTCTGCAGTTCGGCATCTATTTCAATTCGATTCTCCATGTCTGTAAGACTCCGTCCGTCATAGAACGGAGTGGCCATGACGTCCGGGCTGTGACAATAGAGATACTCACCTAGACGAGAAGGAAGAGAACCGAGCACGAGATAGAGAAGCAGTAGCCTTTGATGAGAATGTGTAGAAATGAGCGGCCCATCGTTTCTCAATGTTTGATAAACTGAATGATGACTGCTTTGCCATAGTTAACGATTCAAAAGCTGGTAAAGTAGCGCTCAAAAGATTGACAGCCTCTTCCCGAGACTGACTATGACAGACAGAACGCGAAGTAAAATGACCTGGGTCCAAAGATTTAGAGCATCGATCTCAACTCCGCGATAGCCTCACAGAAAAGTAGACCCCGAAATGCATCACGACGGCTGTGCGAAGCACCGCACAGACTTCGGCGTTGACGAATTAAGGGGACCGTGATGGCTGGTAGTGAGCCTTGAAGCTCGCCGACCATGTTGGTTGGGCGATCAACATCCTGAATTCCTATCCGCGAGAGAAAGCTGTTCTCCTCCGCCGAAACATTTGACAATTGCTATTCATTCAACGTGTCTTTTCCTGTCGGATCTACCAGAGGCCTGCGGCAACGGCCCTCGAGAGGACACTTGATGATTGAAGCCATGTCATTCGAGTCCTTTTTACTAAGAATCTAACCCGAGACAAAAGCTGACGACCGTTTCACATTATATAGGCTAACTTATAATCAACTGAGGTGCTTGGCCATTCAAAGTTCGCTGGTCCTGTGAAGAAGTGAAGTCGCTTTACTAGACAACTCCTGACTCAGCAAAAAGCCAACTCTCAGAAACAACGTTTCAACCCGCATCGACAAGCTTTCCCCGGATCGTCCCAAGGACCACTGAAACAAGTTGCCCCTGCTTCTTATCCGTCGGCAAGCGGCAAGCGTCGATCCTTCCTGACATCATGGCTCTGATACCCACCTGTTGATCTGTGCCGTTTTGATGTGTTTGGAACTGCCTCGGCTCATTCCACGACTACATGACGGGGTAGGCTCCCCGGAATCATACATCCAAAGCCGATCCGGTCCGCATGTGGTTATTGCCATTGACCACGTCTGTGCCACCATCACTTTCATCATGCCATGGATTTGTCACATCAGAGTACCTGTGCAAAGTGCCATGAGATATGTCATAAGACGGAATTGTTCTTTTCGTTTTCCCAAAGCCTATGATGGGCGTTTATGCTGTGAGACAATTCAACAAGAAGAAATATCTTCCCACGCCTCCTTGGATCCAAACGCCAGGACTTGTTAAAACGAGGTTTGGTCGTTATCATTAAAGACGTCGTTGGGAAAAACAGGATGGAAAAGGGCCATCCGGAGTATCATGAATAAGCAATAGGACCTTGTGGTGATGTCTGTTTCCCTTCACCATCCCCTTTGTATCTGCATTAGGTATGCAATCTGATTTGGTCATGCTTCAAACTGCAAGCATTTGGGTATTCAACTTTGCACTGGGTTTGCGTTCAAGCCGTCGGATAAGCTTACTCACGCATCTTCACGTAGTTGCTGGGGAAGATGCCGTGCCTCGTTCCAATCATGCCGGTCCTGTTGTGAATGTCAGCTTTGAGCCTGCAAAACGGAGAAAGACCCTTTCACATACCACCAATCGGTCTCACTCTCAGTCTTCTTCAGCACTGTGATAACATCGCCCTTCTTGAATCCCAGGTCACCGGGTTGGTCGGCATCAAATGTGAAGAGCGCAACGGCCTCGTTCTTCTTGAGCATGGCCGCCTTGCCAGTGAAGTTCGGCTTCGGAGCAGCTGGTCTACCGGGAGGACCCGTCTTCTGGTCATTGAGGCCGAAGTTGGGCGATGGGTTGTCTCTGTAGACGTAGTCGTCGTTGCCTCTTGAGGCGAATGTGTTGGAGCGTGAGACTCCCGTGTTGGAACGCGAAACTCCACCAAAACCACCTCCAGCAGGTCTGTCGTAGACATCGTCCTGCCATGTGCTGGATCTCTTGGGTCCACCAAACTCGCTGGCGCCACTATCTCCGCCACCGAAAACACTGCTGCGGTTGTTGCTTCCAAACTCTCGGCTGTTGTTGCCATTCCAATCGTCCTGGCCCTGGCCCTGGTCGTAAACGGGAACGTCGTTGTACATGGTATCGTTGGCCTGACCGGTGCGGCCGGCATTGAAGGCGCGGGAGTTGAGGATGTTCATCAGGGGCGCGGCCTGGGGCGGGGAACGGACGCTGCCAGTCAAGATCTGGGCAGCGGTGTAGCGGGTGCCGTAAAGCTTCTCGTTGGCGTCGCGGCGCTCGATAATAACGGATCCCTCCAGCGAGACACCGGCGAAAAGACCCTTGGTCTTGGAGTAGGAGAAAATACCGGCAACACTCTTCAGCGAAGCGGCACCCGCGGCCTCGGCGTTGCGGCCCACGGGACCAGCGGCGATTGAGACGTTTCCACCGAGCGTAAGCGAACCAGCCTGCGCAAAAGTCTTGACCGCGCTCGCATCGTTGAGAATGAAGACGAAGTCGGTCAACTCAAAACCAATCTGTCCACCAAATCCCGCACCTGCCGTACCGATGGCGCTTGGCGCACTCCATGATCCATCGGGAAGTCGCGAGACGACGAGACCGCTACCAAAGCGACCGGAACCGAGGAAACCGGCCTTGAGGACGGTGAGAATCGCGAGACCCTAATTACACGCAACATCTGTCAGTATCGTCTCGGCTTGGGGGGGTGTTGTCGTGAGCGGTGGGAGGCCTCTGGGCATTGAATGCGCCAAGGCAGGCGGGGGGATGGCTGATCGCGGGGTGGGAAATATTGCTCACCTTCGCGTTGGCCAGGACGGAGGGAGGAATGATCTTGTCGGGACTGAAGGCTTGACGAGGGTCGATAAACGACGTCAGAATCTTGCCGCACTTTTTGCATTCCGCTGTTGTGGTCTGGTCAGCTCATCTGTTGCGACTGAACAGGATGACGGGTGCGGCGCTGCAGCGGGATCACCGGCACCAGCCAAAAAAAATATGGTGGACTTACACGCCATAGACGACGGGAGCGGGTTGTGGAGGCCCATACTGACGGTGTATCGAGGGGTCGAGAGAGAGGAAATACGATTCAGTCGGACTTTGTTTCCTCGAGGGTCGGTCGGGGAGGAGGAAGGGGAGAAAAAGGTGTCGAGGATTGGAGGTGAAGAGAGGGAAAGAAGAAAGAGAGACACGAAAAGGTGAAAGCGTGTGCCTAGGATTGTGATTAGGTAGGTCAGGTAGGTACGGATACGGTTTCTTGGGGATCCTTCGTCGCCCACGGTTCCCGCCGCAGCTGCGTGCACCCACACCTCCACGTAATTAACGATTTAGTGGGGTTGTGCCGCGATAGGTGAGGATGAGAGCCGCCGAGAGGCCTGCGCCTCTTCTTTCCCTCGTCGGTTGATATGTGCCGGGAGCTTTGGTCTACTTTGCTTTTCTCCTGCTGGTGGTTTCCTTAGGCGTTTCCTTAGGCACGTCTTATTAATCTTATTACTCCCGTTGGGCTTGGCGGATGAAAAGCGTACCAGGAAGGAGGAGAATGGGCATCAACTGTTTTTTCCTTGCTGCTTCTTGCTTCTTTTTAAGCTTTCATGGCTTTTCAGCCGAACTCTCGTATCGGACGACGCAGGTTCATCAAACAAACGAAGCGCAGTAACTCGTCAATATCCATTCGAGCGCGTCATCTCAGCTGGCGGGAGCTTTCAAATCATTAATACTTTTCTCGAGGGCCAGGTGACATGCCCCTTCATTATCTCCGGGCTGGGATAGCCGGAGCAAAAATTCGAGAAATCACGGACCAAGGACCGGGGGGAGCTTGGTGTAAGCTGGGCTCTGATGAGGCGCAACAGAGGCGTGACCTGGACGGAGTGAGGTAATTCGCGGGGTACTTCTGTCTGTTCGGGTTCGGCGCCAGTGTGGCGCAGGCCACTGACGCGCAACCCCCCACCGGCAAGGATGGCGTTCCGAGCAGCGCGGCCGCGAGCCCACCAGTGGGCAGTGGCCCAGTGGGCAGCAGCGACGCCTCGGCCGCGCAGTGACCACCTGCTGACAATGTCACTTTTTATTTTCTTTGGCAAGGAAGGAAAGCACTGGCCGGGACGGGGCTGGGTTAGGACTGGCCCGCCCGGCTCCAGTTCCATCCGCGCTGTTCCAGCCTCGCCTTTGTGAGGAAAGACGCACCGGCCCCCCGAAACCTCCATCGTCATTGGGTTCGCCGCCAGAATCTGCCATTTCCGCAACTTCATCATCAAACCTCACGAACCACGAACTCCAACCCACAAACTACTGCGCACCACATCCGACGTTTCTTCTACTCAAACGAAGCTGTCATTGCTCAGAAGAACCCCCATCATACCGAGGAGGAACAGTGCAGCGTTGGACCGTGGCATAGTCACTTCTCAACGACTGCAACCACACACCATCTACAGAGACCGACGATCTCGCACGCGCCGCAACTCGACATAAGCCTCAGCGGCGAGAAACTACTTCAGGAAACAATCCACACTTTCCGCACCCTGGGATTTGCTTCGCTCCCGCCGGTTCTCACCAAGTCCCATCGAAGAAAATTCATCACCCCTATTCCCCTGAAGAAACCAAAAATCCTGCGAAAATGTCAGAAGCCTACGAGCGCGAACGCCAAAACAACGCCCGTCTCGATGAGCTCTCGGCAAAGGTCTCCGCCCTCAGAGGTGTGACCGTCGACATCTACGACAATGCGCGCGCTCACGAAGTCATTGACAGCACAGTATGTTTCCTCGTCATTTTCTCTTTCGCTTCACCTTCCTTTCCCGAAAC